TGTAGAGATGAAAACGGCCTGTCTTTATTGTCCTTTGGCCCGAAGCCCACGCATTTCACTATCCTCTTAAGCGCGAATGGAAGTCTTTGACCTCATTTTCGTTGCGTGTGGTCGCGCACACCCGCGGCTGCTGGCTCCTGGAAAGAACGTGCGCCACTTATTATGGGCACTGAATTCTTTGGTTCAGTATCCCTTTAAGAGCCCGGAAGAAGTGGGCCTGGTAGTTCGGCCCTCAAGATCTTGGCTCTGTTCGCGCCACGTCGGCTTCATCGGGTATCCCAATAAAGTTGAACGCCGCTTTGTCCGAACGTTGTATTTCGAAGTCGTATTTAAACAAGTTTGTTTGTGGTGGGTGCGCACATTTAGTTACATAATTGGTTCTCTTCCTTGGTGTGCAGGAAATATCTCAAGGTTAAGATGGCCCTACAGGCGGGTTTTTCTCCTCAAAATAGCCGTTATTCTTTTTTTTTTCATCACGCTTAAATAATTTTTTAGTTTTACTTTCTTCTGATTGAAAGGAACTACCTCTACAGTAAAGAATCCTGAGGCCTTGCAGCCACTCTCATCGTTCTTTCGAAACGTAAAAAGGCTCATTTATATTGACGACAGAGTAAGTGAGGTTTAGGAGTTTTATATATACATTGTGTACGATACGCTGGGGTGTCGTGGGTTTTGTTTTAAATTGTAAGCTATTAGAGGCCATGTCTGAAGTCATTCCAAGAATATTATTTGTTTTTGTTTAAAATTAGCTGTTATGTTTTGGTACCATCTGCCTGTGATCGCAATCGCAGACGCAGACAAGTCGTTCTATATATTTTTTGTCTGTGTCGTCCTTCAGTTCACCAGAAAGAAAATTTATTGAATTGAACTGAATTAATTAAAGCAAGGTGTCGCGATTGAGTGGTAGGTAATATTTTCTTTCTCAATAATTTAATCAAGCCACTATAACAAATGAAATGCGAAAATCGGCATTAATACGAACCTGGGAAAACTGTTCATAAATCGGTGGATTCATAAATCGTGGGTAGGCAACAAAAGAGAGCGCCGGTGATTCTAAGACGCACTTTGGTATGCAACTGAACTACGGAGGGGGGCCCCTGAAGCCACTCAAATGCGAGAGTTTGAAAATTACGAAGAGGCCCACGATCCTAATAAGACGAATGGTCAGTTTCAGCGCTGGTAAAGAAAAAAAAAATGTTTGTTTTTGCTGCCAAGAAAACATTTTTGGTTTAGAGATCCATATTTTCGATAAAACAAAATTGTGTGGGGACTCACTGGTTGGCGCCACTTCTGAGGTAGCCCTGGAGCACTTTTTCCATCTCCGTAGATAGCTTCACAATTGTTTAGGCATCATTTTTTAAGTGTCGGCTCGTACAAATTTGTACAATACTTGAGGCGACCACTTCTCATAGATATTGTGTACACATGTTTTCTCAAAATGTGCAAAACCTTCAGTCTACTTATACGCAGTTCTTGGGTATGCTACCTGATAGCTGGGGGCAGTCTGCCAGTGCGTTTGCCCTCGAGCACGTGCTGAAACGCAAACGCCTCAACAGAAGTTCATTCGACTGCAAAATTGCTTAAATAACACCCTCTCTCCCGTCTTCAGTTGCTGGATCATTATTGTCCTGTCAAATAAATTTTAACTATATATTTGAGATATTAATGCAATTAATACAAGGTGCCGGTGAGCTATACATAATAAACGATGACTGGAGATTTGTGGTTGTCCTTTGTCCCCCTTGTTCCCCTCCTCCAGAGATTATTTCATAAACTTGAGAGTTTACGTGGCTGTGTGTGGTTCATTCCTTGCCTGCAGTCTCGAGCGTCTTGCGTGTTATTTCTGCCCTTATTCTTTGATGACACTATTCTTTATCGTTTTTTTTTTTTTTTAGGTGCACTTTTTTAGATATTGTACCTGGATTCAGTTTTTCGAGTTAAAAATACACGCTGTGCTTTCGGTTCGTTCCCCCAGAGGTAGGGTTGTGCGAATATTCGAAATTTCGAATAGTAGTTTCGAATAATAGACTGTTCGATATTCGCTTCGAGAAGAACTGCACTATTCGCGTTTTTCGAAGCGTTGATTGTGGTGGGTTAGCCCCGTTGAGTGCGCTTCTTTCCGAGCACCAGTGCACGGCGGAGAAGCAATACCCTTGGAAGCGAGCTTCGCGGGTGTTGCTTCTCTGCATTACATCGGTGCTCGGTAAGAAGTGAACTTAACGGGATAACCTGCTGCAAGAAACAGTTGGAAAAATATGAACATCGGAATTGCGTACTTGCGTGCTTGGTAGAAAAGCATACATTGAAATCGGGATGGTGCACACGTGCCGGCTGTATTTGGGAATAAATGGAAACTTTGTGAATGTGTATATCTACATTGTAGTAAAAGTTCCAAAATTAAACTGATTGTTATGCAAGAGTATACCATGTTAAGCAGAGATGTCCTCACAACCTGCCTTCCAACATGTGCTATTATTTCTTTTTTAACTCAAGATTAAAGAAGGCATATTTAATTTAGCAAAATTTGTAAATTCACTCAATTGGGTATATTTGGCCATCTCTATAGGATTCATTTTATGTCAAATTCGTTGTTTAATTGCCATCCCAAGACATCATATCTTATGAAGACACAGTTAAAAAATATAGCTAAACTTAGCTTATAAATGAACAAGTGGAACAACCTTCGCAAGTTAGCTAGGCTTTCGTTTAAGCATTAAGCAATGGTAGTGAAAGGCATGGAAAAACTATTCGATATTCAAATCGAAAATATTCGGCCAAAACCAGTATTCGCTTTGAATTCCGTTCGAACTCAATATACACTATTCGCACAAGTCAACCCAGAGGGCAAAAAAAAAAATATTCAAGGTTCAGAAGTTGATGGTTCCGAAATTCGCAGTTTACACGTATAGCCGCTGACAGGGGGTAAAGTGGATGCTCCTCCCACTTCTCTACTTCTCTCCACTTTAGCAAAACGAACGCTGGAGAGGATGAACCTCTCGAGCGTTCATTCTGCTAAGAGGTGGCTGGAAGCTTCTTACCTTGTAACCGAATATAGACATTATTTTTTTCTTAGGATTTATTTCTTAAATCGAGTCGTTTATTCCAGGGTTCATTACTCGAGGTGTCGCTGTATATCGCTTTTATCCCCATATGTCAACCCCGAGTCCCACGGTCGTTTCTACCCTATAAGTTTGACATTATGTCCTCAGGTGGCACCAGTAGTAATTATCTAAATTTGCGGGCTTTTACCCCCGACAGGATTTAATAGCGAAACTCGCAACTCGGAAAACTAACGTCCATGCACGCTAAAGATGCAGATAGTCAAGTATTTGGCAGGAGTTTAGCTTTTAGTGATGAGCTCGTCCCACGGCCATAAACCTGTCCAAAAATCGCCTTCTGTGTGCCTTTGCCTTGTGGTTCGTGAAAGGCGTTTTGAGCGAGACGCCGCGCATGCGCGCACAACCCAGTGCATTTTTCGTCCGGGTGATTTAAGACTGGAAAGGTGTATCGTCACAGACAGCTGAAGAAGCGCAAGACGTGGTTTGTTCGAGAGTCTTAAAGCATTGCGTTTGAGAGAAAAATTCGCAAAAGCGCTGTGCGTTAGCGTTGCGTCCTTCACGCTCCGCATGCGCATTGTCGCTAATCCCAGACGCAGTTTGGGGCTCCGCGCACGTTCAGTGCTCGCAACGCTACTGCAAATTGGAAGACTACTCAAACTCCCTCCGTGATTCATTGTTGGGCGTTCTTATCCTCTAATGCCGCTTATTCAATGGCTGGCGCTAATAATTAGATGTGGCGAATTCGTCCTCCGTAGCTGTCAGTGACGATATAGGGCGAACAGCCTGGGTGTGGCGCTCCTTTACCGAGGTCCCGGATATATTGCGTGACGCACTCCCTGCGTCCACGCACCGCGTACAAGCACCAAACACCCTACGTAGAAACAACAAACACATGCCACGAAGCATATACACGAGCTCGCTATCACGACCCTGTATGTAGACTTCTACACCGCTCGATCCAACTGAAGGGTGACCACTTATGGCGCACCGTGCATTCACGAGGGCGCCCATCAAACCATTCTGCCAATCTTGGCCGCGAGGCAGCTATGTAGCTGCCTCGCCTCAGACACGATCACATGGTCGTGTCGACGCGGGGTCGATCGGGATCTCGAATTCGGCTCCCGATGTGCCGCTTTCTCTCCTAGCCCCTGGATGGCGCTGCAGGCGCCCCGTGGCGGGCGAGGAGAAACCTTCTCGCCCATCGATCGATATATACTCGGCGGGCGAAGGCCTCTTAGAACTTCGGACGAGACCGAGACGCAGGCAAGCGGGTGGCGACCGGATTTGGGGTAATCGCGAGACACGAGGCCTGGAGGCCTTCTTTGTGTTTAGCTTTGGGCTTAACGTGCATTTGTACATATTTGTGTAATGTCGCGTGTATTTGTAGTTTAGACTGAGTGTTTTGTATTGTGTGCTTTATTGTACCAATAAACGGGGAGCGGAATCCCGCTCCCATGAAAGAACCAGGCTGGACTCGGTTTGTTGACGGACCACGTGGGAAATGGCGAATCGGCGGCGGTACGCGATTTCCTACAAATGGCGCATCAACGTTGGGGCAGGCAAACCGTAATTACCGTCGCAACGTCCGTCGACGACACTGCGTGTAAGTTCACGCGGGGCGGTCCCCCTGGTTGGCGGGTCTATAGCGCGGCACTGCGAAGGCGGGGTACGTCCAAACAAGTGTTCGAGATGGCCACGGGTAATTTCGCCCTCACGGATTTAATGGTTTTGGCCGACGTCGCGACGTCGACGGGGCTGGCGGAGCGGAACGCCGCGGCGATGACCGCAGCGCTGAGTCCGGACACGCCGACGGTGTCGCCAGTGGTGTCTATGCCGCAAAGCACGGAGATGTCCCGTGAATCCACGGCGTTGGTTGCGGCGTTCGCGCACGCCTTACAGAGCATGCTTGGTGTAAACCTGCATTTCATTGTTTCTTTACAGGAGTAGTGGCCACACGTTCACAGTACCACGGCAAGCTGATTGGAACGCTATATGGATCGACACACCAAGTGGATGCTACCGTGTATGCCGCAAGCGACGACAGTTTTAGCCTGGTCAACTTTACGTATGACGGCTTGGGTCCAGGTTTGTGGCTTGCACCACTCTTCAACCATTCTTAAGCCGCGTGCGCCGAACGAGGTGTTGCTCGAGCTGCTTCTCGTTTTCTTCCGCGTGATTAAGGCACGACCACACTAGCGGCACGGCGACTCATCACACGCCGTTGCCCTGACGCGAGCTGCCGTCCGAGCCTGGTTTGGCCTCAGAACGGCGAGATTTTCTTGCCATCCGGCAGATCGGTTGGTGCGCGGTCTCTGCTACCCCTCTCCCCCTCCCGTCTACCTGGAATTAGTGCCTGCACTAATCCGGACGATGGCCCACCTCACCCCTATCTCTACCCCCCCCCCCCCCCCCCTTTTCTATACCGCCGTTCCACCCTTCTCACCATCCCCTGAGAGTCGTTCACAAATGCGCCCAGTGCGCGTCCGCGATTGACTCTCACCCCCCCCCCCCCCCCCCCCTTACTTCCTTACAACAACAACACTGGCGCGGCAGAGATCGCGGCCCTCGTAGTCGTGATGATAGTGATGCCATGGCAACGCTCAATGCCTCGCCGCGGGCACATTCGAAAGCAGTATAGCTCAGCGAATCGTCGCGACTTTTTTAGAGTATAGTTGTAAACCCGAGACTGGGGATACGGACAAGGGACAAAACACAGAACGACACGGACGAAGTTTGAGACTTCGTCCGTGTCGTTATGTGTTTTGTCCCTTGTCCGTATCCCCAGTCTCGGGTTTACAACTATGCTCAATTTACACCAGCTAGCCTGCACCCTCACCATTGCTTCATTTTTTAGAGTCCCCGAGGCGGGACGGCGGTTCTCCGCACGCGCCATTTGCCTGGCACCAGGACTGGCGTGCTAGAATCAAGGCCCGTTCGCACTCTTGTGACCGAGTACGACCGAGAGAGACCAGACCGGTTTTTAAGCCTCTTGCGATCTCTTAGGACCAGCTCGGCAGCATCGCATCCGGTCCTAAGAAGTCGCAAAAGGCTTAAAAACTGGTCTGGTCTCTCTCGGTCTTACTCGGTCGCAATAGAGCCACTAAATGAGCTGCGCTTAGAGTATCGGCACTCCGTTGCTCGACATTGTTGTGGGCGCCGCCATTTTGGGGCTTGTGCAGAGCAGACGCAGCTGCCGCTCGTCATGAGTCCAAAGTGCGACTTCCTCAGCATTAGATTCGGTCTTAGGAAGCTCATGTAATACTGCTTTGCTTTGTCGGCAACTGTTTAGACATTCGTGGAGTGCAGAAAAGCGTTTCCTGTGATTTCAGATAAAGCTTCAGATGACTGGCAACCATGATTTTAAGCCACAATATGGCCAAGTGTCGTTACTCTGAAGCGTAGCTTATTTAGTGGCACTAGGTCGCAAGAGTGTGAACGCCGCTTCAGCGTCTTAGCTGAGACTCTGTGAAAGAAAGCAGTGCCGAAGCTAGCGCGCGAGACGAGGGGCACGTGAAGGCGAGTCTGAAGCGCTCGCGCTCCCCCGGCTCGGCAGGATTCCTTTCACAAACTCTAAGCTAAGACGCTCACTATTGGGCAGGAGATCGAACTATAGGTGGCGCTTTATCGAGCTTGTTGTCCCCACAGCCCGGTGTTTACTAACCCAGCATAACAAAGTAATTGAACATCACCTAGGACGGTCTGGGTACGAGCGCTTCGCTCTGACCGGTGCTTTGGTCGCACCAGGAGCGGCCTTCGAATCGTCATTTTCAAGTTCATAGATCAAAAACAAACAAAAAAATTCGTTTTGTTGTCCCCACAGCTGAAGCATACCGCTAGAGGCATGACTGTTCGATCTCCTCCCTAATAGCAAGCCGGCCCAGGTGCCTCCGAGAACGGTTTTGAGGGAGAGCGGCGAGATTTTTCCACTGTCCAGATAACAATCTGTGCGCGATATCCGTCTGCCGCGGCGCAAAACATGGGACCAGAGCGAGGAGACGGCTGTACGACGCAGTGATGTCGTGGCAACGCGCAATGCCTCTCCGCCACGTGCCGTGTGTTGCCTTTCGAAAGGAGTGTGACCGCGGCCTATGTCACGAGCTATCCCAGCTTATCTGTACGTTCACCAGGCTGACACTGCGGTGGAAACTACAGGCTCGTTGGACCAGTCTGGCACGTCCATCTGGCGCCACGTCACGACGTTCCCTCCCAGCGCAGAGAGCGGGCTCCAATGATAATAGAGAGGCCCTTGATTGGTCCGGCGAGCTCGTAGCTCCCACCTCAGTGTCAACTTAGGGGTGAACGGAGTAAATTCGCTAAAAGCCTGCTACGTGACCTCGTGCTTCGCGAATCACTATGCCAAACCGAAACGTCACATGGACTCATCGCTGATATCGCGTCGATGGCTTGTAGCATCCGCTTGACATTTCAGGCACTTGCTGGCCCATCTTGTGCTTGCTAAACTCACTGGGTCCTGGGAAAGTATAGCGCAAAGCTCTCGGTATGGTCGCCAGTTTGGTTCATGAAATGAGGAGTTTCTCCTTCACATCACAATTCGTGGGGAGCCGATCCTAATTCCCGGTGACAGGTTGCTTTACAAAGACATTTCTTGAATAAAAAAATTTTGTTATCCACTCACCTGCGAAACAACCGCTGATATTAGAGCACCGCAGTCACACGCAGCGTCAGTGCTTGGCGGCATTGAAAAATAATTTTCCTCTCTTGAAATACGCAAGAGCAACAATACCATTCTAAGACATCTTCGGAGATAAGCATGATTGATAAGTTGATATCATGTACAGTGCCAAAGATTTATTCATTTATTTATATATTTATTTATTAATACTACATCTCCGATTCGAGATTTTGTAGGGGTGGGCAGTAAACAATCATCACTGCCAATGCACTGAGAGAAAAACAACAGGGTCAGCACTGTGCATATTACAACATTCAAAATGTCGACACGTTCAGGTGCACATCGAAAAGGAAACTCAACATCACGATACATATCAGGTTACACAGCAGAGTCCACCAAGCAGAAAGCAAAAAAAAAAAAAAAAAATTAAGAAAAATAGCGATAAAACTTGCGTACAAATATGGCATATTCGGCTTCTATAACAACATTCTTAGGCCAAGAATTCCAGTCCTGTATTGTCCTGGGACAAAAAAGAAAATTTAAACGTGTCTACTTTACAAGTATGTTGAACAAGGGCCATAAGGTTGTGCGTCCTAGAGGGGCAGCGTGGAGGAGGGCGGCGGCAAATGTAGCTATTCTTGTGGAATAAATTAAAGAAACATTTTAACCTGTTTATTTTACGACAAAGTTCCAAGGGTTGAAGGCTAGCGATCGCATAGAGTTCTGTGACGGAGTTAGTACGAGAGTACTTATTGTCAATAAAGCGTAAACTTCTTCTTTGGACTTTTTCAATCAAATTAATGTTAGATTCTGCAAAGGGGTTCAATACTGTATCAGCGTGCTCAAGGACTGAGCTAACAAATGTTTTATACGCTGCTAATTTAACGGTGGATGATGCAGATTTCAGAATCCTTCTTATCTACCAATGTTTAATGTAAAGCGTGAGAGATGCGTGATGTGGGAGCTCCATGCATCTTAGATCGTTTGTGATCATGACTCCAAGGTATTTATATCAGCTAACTAGTGAAATGGGGTAATCGCGCAAACTGTAGCTAAAAATGGAAGTCGATTTTTTCCGCGTTATATGCAAATATACACATTTATTGAAGTTTAAGGACATTTGCCACTCCTCGCACCACTTATTCGCTTTATTTAAACCAGCACTGAGTTCTTCCTGATCCGCAATTGATCTTACTTCGGTGTACATGATAATATCGCCAGCAAAAAGGCGTCTAGTCACAGGTATACTATGAGCAATGTCGTTGATAAAAATGAAAAAAAGTGAAGGACCGAGCACCGATCCTTGGGGAACTCCCGAGTAAACACCCGACTGGGATGATTTGCAGCCATTTACTTCAACATATTCACGTCTCTTGTTAACGTATTCTCGAAGGCATAAAATTAACTTTTCATCTAGTAAAACTGTAGACAGTTTGGCTAGAGGCTTACGGTGAGGAACTCTGTCGAACGCTTTTGCGAAATCCAAAAATATAACGTAATGAATGGTTTCAATAAGTTGCGTTGTTGCTGATAATCCCCGCCGGAAACTCGGGTTGAAAAAGATCTAGTCGCAAGGAACTCTGCATTCTGTTTAAAGATAGTATGTTCCATAATTTTAAAGCAGGAGCTTAGCAATGAAATCGATCCCGACTTATGGATAGAAACGACCCTGCCTCATGTATTCCCAGCTAGAGAACACTTAAATCTGAAAAAAAAAAAAAAAGATTTGTCAAACAGCATACTTAATGAGAAAAGCGCTTGGAATATTGTCTGTACCAGGGGATTTCTTCACACTCAAATTAAGTAAAGCTTCGGAAATTCCCTCACGAGATAAGATAATATCAGTTATAGGCTCGCGAATACTTGTGATGACATCCGGAGTAGTACCATTACCAACCGACAACACGGACGTAAAATAGTCGTTGAAATAGTTAGCGATAGCGTAGCCATCATCAACAGCGGTATCAGAAACAACGAGAGATTGAACGGACTTTTTACCTAGAGCAATGAATCTCCAAAATTTCGACGGATCTATTTTCAAACAATTGTGTAGCGTTACGTTTTGGAACCTTTCTTTCGCGTTTCTTATCATTTGAGAAAGTTGATCCCGTAACTCTGACAAACCAGACCAGTTTCTTTTTTTGAGCCGCCTAATTTTTCTCTGAAGGCGCAGCATGTCGTGATCAATCCGAGGGTTGCGCTGTCTTACTCTTTTTGTTATGAGCGAAAGAAATCTCTTCAAACACTCCTTTATTTTGCCAAAAAATAGTCCCCAGAGTTGATCTATATTCATATCAGCATCCCGGTATAGAGTCGAAAATAAGTCTAGATAGAGTTCAAGTTCGTCGACAATGCATTAATGGACACGACATTCGCTTTTGAGAAGTTATAAACGTAACTTATGCTTCGGTCAGGTGGTGTGGGATGAGAATGGCTTGTGAAGTCGTAAACG